TAATTTTTTGTATCATTGCATGGATCGACTGATAAGCGATACAACTGAAATATCAAATGCTGACATACAATTGGTATCTTTTAAGAATAAAAAAGACCTTTTTGGATTACAACAAGCAAATGATACAATTGTCAAATGATTTCCAAGTAATTTCGTTTAATGTTCTAAACATTTATTTAAAAGTTGTTCTTTGAGCACTCATTAAACTCCATTATGTAAATTTTAGTTGAATGGTATATTCAGTTTGGTGATGGGACTCCAAAATTGCAGAATTTTACTATAAAAGTTTTGGGCTTAACATGTTCTTCATATGGCTATGAACGAAATTGGAGTACCTAAAACCAACTACATACAAAGAGGAGAAATCGTTTGTCGATATTGAGAATGAATTCACCGATGTATATTATTTACAATAGGAGACTCAGAGACAGGAACTTGAAGAAAAAATTATTAATGGATGATAAAAATCTTTTGTTGTGCGAGGATGTAACATCTGATAATGAGTGATTTATAGATGATGAAGTTGAAGTGATGCCGTCTAAATTATAAGATGAAGATTTAAATATTGATTTCTTTGATTGTCATAAAGCATCTACATCCACCACAACTCAAGAACAAATCAAAAAAGGTATATAAATAATATAATTTTCTAAACTTTTATTAAAGTATTGCACTATTATTCATTTTGATATTGTTGAAAAATATTTAGGGAAGAGAAAGATAACTAATATTGAGGAAGGAGCTGATTGGGAGATTTTGGACTCTATAGGAGAGGAGGAAGGGGAGAGAGCAGTTCATCATAATGATGATTCAAATGAAGACACCCTTAGTGATGACAGTGCTGTTGACTTATTTGTTCTTATATGATATGTCATTGCTATTTATTTTTTGAATTATATGTTAATGAAAAGAATACTGTGATTTGGGAAAGATAAAATTTTGAGTTGAACTATATTTCATGTTGTCTTATTATTGGGATATTTTGATTTAACTTCATATCTTGTGCTTTTTAATGTTTTATATTATTTACTCATTCGTATATAAAAATTTTATCATTTTATATTTACGAAATCTTTTGATTTTGAGGCTTACACCTCAAAACGCCTCGAGGCTTACGCCTCGCCTAACGAACGAAATACGACTCAATACCCAATTACACAATTTTAAACATTGAGTAGAATTAATCCTTTTTAGCACCCTTCTCTCCTTGCTTACCACCCATACTAGTGGAGCCAACAAGGCACTTTTCCCACCATCTAGATCGGCCCCCTTGATGGGTCAGGTTGATTGGCTAGACCGGCTCAACCGGCCTATCACATTGTTCTCAATGAGAGAAACAAGAAATATGTTGGTAAATATATTTAGGACAAAGAGGGAAATAAGATAGTTGGGAGGATACTAACAATTCTACCAATTTTGAAAATAGATAGTTGGGAGGATACTAACAATTCTACCAATTTTGGGATAAGACGAGATGAGAAGATAGTTGGGAGGAGACTAAAAAGTCTACCAATTTTGAGAAGAGATGGGATGAGAATGAGCAAAGAAAGGAGACAATTATGGCAAGAAAATTGAGAGTCCATTTGATGGGGACATCAGCTCGTGGAAGGTTTATTAGAGGCGTGGCCACCGATCTAAGACCACGATCGAGTCCTTATATTTCTGAGTTATTTATGTTATTTTCCTATTCATGTATTTTTTTTATTTTCGTGTGTCATGTATTTGTTTTTATTATTTTTTTCAGTTGTACACTTTTAGTGGGGAATGTCGTATGTAAGCCCGAAGGGCAAGATTGTTTTTTATTTTCTTGAGCCCTTGTACGTGGCTATTTATAGCCTCATGTTTTGAAGTTAATGAATGATTATGAAAATTTTTCTGTACTTGTGTTCTTGAAGCTTATGAGAGAGCTTGAGAGAGAGAGTTAGAGAGCTTGGTAGAGCCGATAGGCCACCCGTCGTACCCAACAGTCACCACTGGTGGCTCTTGATTCTCCTCCCCTTTCCCTCCCTTCCCCTTACCTCCACCGCCAACCAATCCCTTGCCTCACCTGAGCCCCTCATCCCCTCTCAATCCCATGGCCCAACCCACTACCCGAGTCCCAAGGCCGCCGTCACCAATCCCCTAGCCCCCCCCCCCCCCCCCCCCCCCCCCCCCTTCTCTTCATCCCCTCTCTCTATTACTCCCACTTGCCATATTTAGATTGACAATATTTGGGCCTGATTTGAAATTTCAATTCAAACAATTGGAGTTTTAAAATCTTTCCTAAATAGTCAATCTATTTTAGGAAAGTTTCTAAATCAACACTATTTTGAATTCAAATTCAAATAGAGTTAATAAAATACTTTCCTAAGTTCTAATTTAATTTAGGCAAGCTTGGACACTTGGCAATCAAACCCCAATCCCCATTATGATGCTGTCGGCCCCCTCTCTCCTAGCCCATTAATGCCCCCTTAATTAATTCCTAAATCCAAGTCCTCCTTTAAGCAATATTTCCAAATTCCTAATCCCCTTGACCGAATTTTTCAAAACCATAATTCCTAGTTTATTTCCTAAATCAACTAATTCAATTAGGAAATAAATTCCCCATCCCCATTGTACCGCCGGCCCCCTCTCTCTCCAAACCGCCACTCTCTCTCTCCAATCTTCTCTCTCCCTCATTATTACCCCACTTGATTTCAAGCCTTAATTCTCCCTCCAAAGTCTCAAACTCCTAAGTATAGAAATCTAAAATTTTCTCTCAGATTTTGGAGAAAAGTCTAAATTGTTTTCATATATTGAAAGGAGATTTGGGGGATTGTTGTCTCGCCACTTTGCAAGAGAAACTTCTTTCTCTTCATCAATACTCAAGACACTATCAAGCATTAAGGAAATCTTATCTCAATCACCCATGAATGGCGGATCTGAAAACTGAGTACGGTTTAACTTGGGACGAAGATGGCTTCACTAATATCCTCCGATCAACCTTCTACGATGTGAATCCAATGATTGATCATACCATCGAGGACTACTTGGAACGTATTCTGGATACCTTAGTGGAAGCAATCGACGAGCACTTCAAAGGCGTCGAGTGGAGGATCTCCACCACTCCTTCACGAGAAGTTCTCTGTTCCCCTTTTCATTTTATTTCTTTAGTCTAACTCTATCTTGTGCTTGATTGTAGTCACGAAGGACGACTCTCCCTGCTACTGCTAAGCTTAGTAAACATAGGGTTTTTGAGCGTGACTTTATGTTTATTAATTTTCATTGTTAGATTAGGGATTGTTTTGAAACAACTACTATGGCATTAAGTGATTTACTAATTGTTTTGAAAGCTTTTCCCACTCTCTGGATATGTAATTTGGCTTAATGTATGGCATGTGGCTCAATATGAATTAGGATGTTAAGCCTAATTAAATGTCCCAAGGCTAACCAAGAGGGGGGGTGAATTGGTAATTTAAAAAATTATACTTCTACTCTTAGATTTTTAGAAAACCTTTTTAATTATTAATGCAAGTTAAATTTAAAGTTTAAAAAATAAACTTTTCAACCAGAGTAAACAACTTGCAATGAAATTAAATGCGTAAGAAAAATAAGAAAGAACACACCAGATTTATAGTGGTTCAGTCAAACCTTGACCTACGTCCACTCCCCGGAGGCACCCTCCGAGTATTGCACTAATACCACAAAGTGACTCTCCTTTTGCCCCCACAGCAAGGCGGAGAAGCCTGTACAAAATCACTTTCACCTTCCCCGGTGCGGCGGAGTAGCCGAGTTCTTTGACACCAAAGATATCTTCTTCTCACCAAAACTTCCCTCAAGACGACCCTTGAATCCGATGGTACTGAAGTGCAAGTTGCACTGAAATATTAGTACACACAAGAGCAAAAACAAATCTTCCAAAAAATGTTAGGAGATAACAACACAAAAAATAATAATATTTGGAATCATCAAAATTATACAAGTTGCAAGAATGTAAAACATGCAAATAGCAACTTTCCTAACAATGTGTCCTCTTAAGTGTTGTATAAGACCTAGACCATTAGGGGGGTGGCCTGAATCTCATTAATCAACTCAACACTTGTTTTTTATTTCGACGTTTCAATTTCTGATCTTAATTTGAGCCAAAATGAGGGTTCAAAGCTATGTAATGAGGTTGGTCAGGTTATGGAGCCAATTGGCTTTTACTATGAGGCGTTTGGCAAATGTCTACTTGAAAGCAATTTTATCAAAACATCCCTTTGGGATTCCACTCTAAATTTTGTGCTTGAGTTCAGGAAAACATTCCTCAAAAATTAGCTTAGAAGTGTTTCTTGAGTGATCACTTTAAAGCTAACCGGACAAATCATTTCGATCTATCTTACCTGATTGGGTCTCCTCTCAATCTATTTATGCATCACATGTCCAGCCAAACTTAACAAGCACGATCACCGGAACTAATCATTTCCGAAAATAAAATTTTGTCAAGTATTCGATGTAGATTGTTTATCAATATGGAGGCAAATTTTAGAGCCCAAAAAGAACCATTTTCAAGCGTCCGCCGGCTGTTGGATTTTTGTAATCTTTTTAGAGACACCAACTTAAGCCTTTAGTTATACAATTACCCACTCTCACTCTCTTGTATTCCTTCTCTTGCTAGGTAAGAGATGCGGATACTCTATATTTTCCTTATTAATTATGTTTGAACCTTCCCCTCTACAGATTGAACACAAGCTAAAAAGCCGACCCACTAAAATCTGATCTCTCCCTCCTCGTCATGCTGGCGTGAATTTATGGCCTTGTCCTTCCTCTTTCTCCCCCTTAAAAGAATCTCAACTTGCCAAATCTGTGTCTTTTCCCCAGAATTATTTCTCACAGCCACATATCGTCCATGGCCAAGAGTAATCTGAATTAAACTAAAATGCTCCTTATATGACAATAAGATACTTGTTTTCCTGGTCTAAAATTAATTCCCAGACGTCAGGAGAAATAACAATCGCTTTTCCACCTTAAATTATCGGGGTTTCTAGGATGGCTTTACTCACCCAATTGCTCTGCTGAAAGGGGTTGAAGGCACTCTCCTCTCCCGAGGCCGTCTCGTCTTCATCGGAGCAACAATCTTATCCACCTTATCATCCCTCTCCTCCAAGTTCGATAAATTCACATCGATCTTCTCACTCAGAATGCGCGGCTCAACAGCAGACTTCCCATCATCCGAAACGGAAACGTTCTCTCCAACTTCCACTGTCGTAGACTCTGACACCGAAACCGTCGCAGAGACCGACAACGATACGTCACCGGAGCTGTCAGGCCTCACTACTGTAGCCTCTGGAGGTTCGGAGAAATAGACGACGGATTCCTCGGGACGCGGGGGAGTAAACTCGCGGACTTTCCCGCTGGTAAACCCGGCGAGATCCGTGGCTGAAAGGATGGCGTTTTTTATTGTGTGAGAAATTAGGGTTCCAATACCTCCAGTCCTCGCGGCCTCTAGGTAACTGGATCTCTTGGCGGCCTCCACCGCTACAAGGAGAACACCGTCCGCGAGGCGACGGAGGTCTCGGAGAGGCACCATTCTGCCGCGCAGCGCGCCGGAAGAGGATGCTAAGAGCGGTAGGAGACCCTGATGAGCATTAAAAATTCTCACTTTATTTTATTCAGACATTACGAGCATTTTAAAAAATTAAGATATAAGATAAATGTAATAAAAAAAATTATTATATATTTAATATTTAAATTTTATTATTTATTCATTAAACTCACCAACTAACACTTACTTTCCTTTATCTCCTCAAGTCCTAATCCTTCTCTTCAAGACCACCTACATGGGCATCTTCAGAACACCAGCAGCTCTAAAGCTCTAAAGCTGCAAGCCTAAAAAATTCAACAAAAAAAAAGTCATACGAACTCACAAGTAATAACTACAAGTCTATATCAGGCAATAATCTAATGGGGAGAGGGGAAGGACTCCACCGAATATTAACTTCTTTTTGTTGAAGTGGTTGAGATATTATTTTATATAATAAAATTTTGATATTAAATAATTAAATAAAAAATTCAAATATTATATATATAAATCCCCTAATAGTATGAGGAGATTTCATACACCGCATTCAAAATTATCTAATTTATATATTTAACATCTAATATATTATACTACTTAATTAATTTAGTCTCTCTCTCACATGCATGCACTAAAAAAGTTGTGATGGAAATCTCACGATGAGGACATCAACGCCAGTGAAGGGCTTCAATGAGACAATGGCATTTGGAGAGCAAAAGTTATTACGATATCTCAGTGGGAATGACCATTGGTTATGCAACATCAAAACCTCAACAATGAAGAAGACAAGAGAGAGTCGCAACGTTATCTTATTGGGATGACATTGAATGGTACTAGTGGCAGTGTATCCAAAATACTCATCAACAAAAAAAAAAAAAAAAGATTTTGAGGAAGTCGCAACAAGGAAGGTCATTCTTAACGAGATATTAACAATATTTTAATGCCACTTAAAGAATTTAGTGGTATGTGAGTAGATGTAAGGTTTAGGTGTTAGATTTGTAAATATGATAATTTTATTTTTCTAATCCCCAAAAATTTTATGTTTTTAACAGTCCAATTTTTAAATTATATGTCATGTAATTAGAGAAATTGGTGATATAAGACAATTAAATTTGAGATATTTAATCTAAATATTATTTTCCTCTAATCTTGATGACATGTAAGTTGTCAACCTTTTCCAAATTCATTTTCTTTTGGGTAATCTTACATTTAAAGTCCACATAAATATTTTAAGGACCCATTTTATCAATTGAATTTATATATTAAATTTAATATTTTACCAATTAATTAGATTTTATTTTTGAGTAAATATTATTATATTTTACTCTTAATTTTAAAATTCTTGATTATCTTCAAACCTCATCAATTATCATTATTTTACTTTCACCTACAAAATGAATAAAAAAATGTTATTTTCTAAAATCTATGTTTTCTATCTACAAACAAACCCAAATGAGTCGTATGTTTCATTCATCATAATCATTATTTATAAAAAAAATTATGTACATATCATTATAAGAGGCAAAATTCTTGTGATTCTTGGAGGAATATGAGACCTTCTTTGATCTTGTTGGATGAGAGAGGGAGAGAAGGGGAGCAAGAGCAGCTCTTGGAGAAGAGAAATCATGCTAAATCCTTTATTCAAATCCACTTTGCCAACAATAATGCATTCCTACTTATAAACTAGAACAACCTAAAGAAGGGCAAAATAGTAAAACCTAAACTAGGTAAGACTGGACAAAAAATACTAACAATCTCCACCTTAATTCAATATTATAAAGTATAAATAGAAAAATAAAAATGAGATATTGAATGCAATCATATTGTCTTGACCAAGCTTCACCATCGATCACCTCCTTATAACGACACCTCCACCTTGTGGCAGATCTTCATATTCCTCTACTTTGATCGAGAGCCACTACTCCACCTATTTTCATCAAGAATAGTGTATATCATCACTTCTCTGACCCGATTGAAATCGTGCATCAGATCTGCTTCTTGGGCACTCTTGCATGTGACTGCCTTCGCCAGTCTCACTCGTGCCGTGGTGAGCTCATGTCTATGTAAACTTATGGTCTGAACCCTTCATCTGCAATTCAGTTTCTTCAATACACTCTAGGGTCCATTGACAATCGTATCTCTATGTAGCATTCATTCCTCTGGACAAAGAGCAACCATCTAATCAAAATTGAACCCCTAGCTTTGATTTTTTGCACAAGCAAAACCTTTGTAATTTTTCATGCACGAATTAAAATATACATGCAATCCATGACCCAAGCCCTATTCCATTCGCGACACTTCTTGAACCTGGGCTTTGCTCCTGTTTACAGCTCTTCCAAAACAAAAAACCTTGCTCTCAGTCACGAGACCAAGCCATTCCATTCGAGCCACTTCCAAATATACGGCCTCCATTCTACCTCCTACATGCGGACAACCCACCTCCCACTCGATTCTGGTTACCATTGATCGGCCAAGCCAAACTTGTATGGCCAGCACTTTGCTACTTTGACCCTCTTGCGTGAACTCGTGCCTAACATGTGCAATCACCTACTTTAGCCCGCAAGCATAAATATTTCTTCGAACAGCCTATTTGGTGCCACTCTAGTCCAGCCCACATTTCTGTCTCATTGACCATCCACGCCTACGAGAACTACCACCCAATCGAGCACACTCACCCCCCAAAGAGGAGATTTGCTCGCACCCCCTTTCACGCTCTTAGGAAAAAAAAGGATAATTCTTTTTTTCTCCCAGGTCTTTAAGTCCTTCAATCATGACTTCCATAGTGGGGGCAATGGGAGCATTTACCTCCACTGTCCTCTCATAATGACTAGGTAATTGGTTATCCTTTATTGGCTCCCTACTATAAAGTTGCTTTTTTCTTCAGCAGAGAACCAATAGTTAGATCCACCTAATCCATAGATGCACGCACTTCTCCTCCACAAATAAGCCTAGTTTACGTGACCACCTCCTTACTTGTAACTTATAGAAACACATTCATCTTCTTATAAATAATATTGTAGGTAGATTGATGTATAGAGGACTCTATACAGCCTCTAAACTGAAACCAAGCTTATAATTTGGAAAGAAAAGGAACATTGACATCAGACCCATGGCTAGTATTTATCAAGAAACCAGACTGTGGTGTTGCCTGACCTATAGGGGATTACACTATTGATGTCTATACAAATATCAGAGCATTAAATTTTCATATACTCGTGCTCTTATTCCTAGTTTTTATTCCATTTATATGATCATTTTTACATCTAATGTTAAAATGGATGCAAAAGTTGGGGAACTAAATGTATACCTATGAATACCAATGCATGTACCCATTTATAGGTATCTCGCATGTTATGTTCAGGTAGAGTGAATGAAGGAGCACTCCACTTATGGAGCTCGTCATTCAAAGGATTCGCTCAGGAGCTGAAAAGAGCTTGATAATGGAGTATAATGGACAAAGACTTGTCACTGCCTCCAAGAGGTCGTCTCCCCAGGGGAGGGAAACCTCAAAAGTTTTTTACTTAGCCAAGCAATTCTTTATCTATCTAAGTTAGAATATAGACCCCTACATACTTGCTACATCCCGTGGCAGCCAAGATACCATGCTAACCACTTAGAGACTCCACTTTCAAAAAGGCTCTTAGGTCATCCTATGACCTTACTTGCCCTTTAGATTTGATAAGAAAACCTTGATTGATCTGTCATTGTCAATCCATAAGATGCAAAGAGAACATTATCTTCCCATCATTTCGAGGAGGAGACTCCTTAATGACATTCGACCTTTTATTGCTCACCCTAATTTATATCCAACCAACCCAGCACTAATGAGTTATTAACACAGATCGTTGAGATAGCTACATACAAAGACTTGACTCCTGCTTTTTTCCAAACCCTAAAAAGGGGAGAGGAGGACAATAGAAGAATATTTCAATATTCTAACCCTGATCCCAATATTCAAATTCCAACTCCAAGGAACCCTGGGAAGCCTTCAAAGAGATTTTTTAACAAGCATTGTATTATTTCCCTTGTAATATTCAAGCTCCACAGAGTGAAGCATAAATCTTTCATCATTTTTGTACTTTGGCTTTGATAATAAAGATTTTTTCTAAAACCCATACATCTTCTGAACTTATCATCCCTCACTTCTCCCCATAATCGAGCTTCATAACATTCTCTCCAATGGATCTCAATTATGTCATGTCGATAAGTATGGCCCAGCATCATCCATCGAACAAAGTTGGATTTAACAAAGCTAAGTACAATATATTATGTAAGTAAGTATATATATATATAAGCAGAGATAGAGTGTGTGTGTGTGTGAATACATTAGTTATGTAGCTCAGGAGAGTTACCCATGCCTTTGACGGATATAAAAAGTTAAGCAGTTGCAGTGTTATGATTGTGAAGAATTCTACAAATCTAATGGTGCTATTGATGATTAGTATAGTGGACAGGTAGCAGGAAAAAGGGATGCTTGCTTATCATGAGTTCAAACCAGGAAACATTCATTAACAATTTTGATATTCTAAATGCAAAGATTGAAATCCATTTTTAGAAGGTATGATGTTGGGATCACATCGCGCAACGCCGCATCGGTAGTCCTTCATTTTCAACTGCATTCACCCGAATAAAACAAGAAAGGTGCTTTAAGTCTTTTCAACATTTCAAACGTAATGACAAAATTAGTTGCAAGAATCAACTCATTCATAGTGAGTTTACTCAATGCATTTTGAGTCAATTTACTAAAGTAATCAACTCATTCTACTTGAGTTTAACTCAATTTTGTCCAACTATACATCACTAAATAATTTCTTAACCAAATTGAGTTAAAATTCTCTTGTTATATTTTATTAAAAATAATATAATTAGAAAAATACTTGTAGTATATTATGCAATATAAATCCAAGGACTTGCTCATGACGAAAGCCTGCATTTTTATAATTTCTCCTCTCAGAAGATCTACTTTTGCCACTATTCATATAGGAATTCCTTTACATGAAAAATATTAAAATTCAGCCCCGTTGGCTCTCAGGTAGGAGCAATTATTAGGTCCTTTCACTGGATGTAGAGGAAGGTTCGGTTTTAGGCAAAAA